CGTGGATCAACACGTGACGCTGGCATGCTGTTTGGGTACAACTGTTTCAAACAAACAGCATCTGATATGGTGGCCTTCTTGAAATTTCAAAATGGCCACATCTTAATCACAAACATTGAAGCAAGTAGCTCGTGACTGAGCAACAAACACTTGTACATCCACATCTGTTAATACAGATGATACAGAAGAAGTTCAAAACAAACGACTCTGTTTGGAACAACGTAGTAAAATATACGTCTACAGTGACGGTCCAGATTAGGATGAGTGACAGTGTGACCTGGAGGGGTGTGACTGGGAGGAACGGCCTCTCTGGTCCGAACCCGAGCGGTGTTCTGTTGTTGGACTTCTGTGCTACTCATAGTTTGTCCATCTCAAACACCATGTTCAACATAAGGGTCTCCATAAGTGCACTTGGCACCAGGTAGGTCGTAGATCCATGATTGACTTTGTAGTCATGTCAACTGATTTGCGGCCGGTTGTTTCGGACACTCGGGTGAAGAGAGGAGCTGAGCTGTCAGCTGATCACCACCTGGTAGTGAGTTGGATCAGATGGCGGGGGAAGGTGCCAGACAGACCCGGTAGACCCAAACATGTAGTGAGGGTTTGCTGGGAATGCCTGACAGAAGAACCCATCAGAAAGATCTTCAACTCAGAGAGCTTTAACTGCATCCCAGCTGAGGTGGGGGACATTGAGTCCGACTGAGCCGTGTTCCACGCCTCACTTGTTGAGGAAGCTGCCTTGAGATGTGGCCGCAAGGTTGTCGGTGCTTCTCGCGGTGGCCATCCACGAACTCGGTAGTGGACACCCTGGGTTAGAGAGACTGTCAAGATGAAGAAGGAGTCCTATCGGGCCTTGTTGACTGGTGGGACTCTGGACGCAGCTGAGGAGTACCGGAGGGCCAAGCGGTCTGCAGCCTTGGCTGTTGCTGAGGCAAAAGCTCGGGTGTGGGAGGAGTACAGTGAGGCCTTGGATAAAGACTCTCTGTCGGCTCCGAGGAGATTCTGGCAAACCATCATGTGGCTGAGGAGAAAGCAGCTCTTTACTAACACTGTGTTCAGTGAAGGTGCTGATGACCTCAACCAGTGATGTCACTGAGAGGTGGAAGGAATACTTCTCAGACATTCTCAATCCCACCAGCAGGTCTTCCATGGAGGAAGCTGAGTCGCGGCACTATGGGGTTGGTCTGTCCATAACTGTGGCCGAGGTCGCCGAGGTAGTTAAAAAGCTCTGAGGTGGCAGGGCTCTGGGTTTGGACGAGATTCACCCTGATTTCCTTAAGGCTCTGGATGTTATGGGGCTGTCTTAGTTGACACGCCTCTGCAACGTCGCATGGACACTGGGGGCAGTGCCACTGAACTGGCAGACTGGGGTGGTGGTTCCCTTCTTCAAAAAGGGAAACCAGAGGGTGTGCTCCAATTACAGGGGCATCACTCTCCTCAGCCTCCCTGGTAAGGTCTATTCAGGGGTACTGGAGAAGTTAGTCCGATCGTTGGTTGAACATCAGATCCAGGAGGAACAACGTGGGTTCCATCCTGGCCGTGGAACACTGGACCAGCTCTTTACCCTCACTAGGATCCTCGAGGGGTCATGGGAGTTTGCCCATCCAATCTACATATGTTTTGTGAACTTGGAGAAGGCATTCAACCGTGTTCCTCTGGGTACACTGTGGGGGGGTGCTCCGTGAGTCTGGGATTGGGGGCTCGTTGTTACGGGCTGTTCGGTCCCTATACAAACGGTGCGAGAGTTTGGTTGCTGGTAGTAAGTCGGACCTGCAGGATTTCTTTAAAAGTGATGTCATCTGGACTCCTCTGGGGTTCATTGAGTCCAGCTGGGACTCCTCACCTTGATGTTCCTCCAACACAATGAGGCCGGGTCTGAAACCTGGTCCTGCGTGACCGATGTTCTGTTGGGCTTTGCTGAGGTGGTCTCTGGGTGGACTGGGTCCATGGATCAAACCGGACCTGCAGAGAAAACAAATAGTGAAAGAAGAACCTTTAAACAAACCAAACCTGGGAGGCCCTGAAGCCCCAGAGTTAATCCTGGCCTTAATAAGCCCTGAGGTCTGGACTCTGCTGAGTCTTTCCTCAGACGGGGGTCTGGACTTCTTTAAACCCGAGCTGGGTTCTGGTTCTTTTTCCAACTTCCAGCTGCAGAAAAATTTAATAAATTCCTTTGAAGCTTCAACTGATTGTCAGAACTTTCCTCAGAGACGTGATTCTGTTGGGTCCATTGTGAAGTCCACTTCACATAAACAAGGTCAGGACTGAAGGCGAGTCCATCCAGAACCCATCCAGAACTTGTGCAGAACCTTCAGAATGCGAGCAGAACCTTAAAAACTGACAGAAACAGTCACAAACATTAAAGACAACAAATGTCAGTCTGGTTCCAGACTTGGTCCTGGTTCTGTTGTGGTTCTGGTCCAATCCTGGTCCTGGTTCCACAAACACAAACAAGTTAAGCTGAGCTTCAAGCTCGTGTTTTTCTACATTTTCAACCTGAACTTTAAGTTTGAAACATCAAAGTTCAATCATCCAGGTAAAGAATCTAACAAAGTTCAGTCAGGTCACCTGGACAGTTTTTGTTGTTGTTGTTGTCGAGACGTTTCACCCTCCATCCAAAGGACTTCATCAGTCTGAGGAGTCACAAACTGTTCTCCCCACCAAGCAGTACACTCCTGCAGTGGAACAACCAGTTTGCTGGAGATAAACTGGTTTCTGGGGGCCGTCCTCTCCCCCGTCGACTCCTCCCAAGCTGCCACAGCCATTCATTCATTCAATCAATCAATCATTCAACCTTTATTTCTACAGGTAAATCCCATTGAGCCTCGAGGACTCATTTACAAGAGAGACCTGATTTAACAAAGAATGATGACAACAATGGACAACAGCAACAACAATAAACAGTTATAAAAAGTCATACTGCAGTTTTTTTTTTTTTTTTTTTTTACAAATAGGATGGCTAAAAGAAAAAGGTAACAAAACAAAAAACAGCTAGATTCTAAGGCAAAAGTAGAAAACTAAAAACAGGAAGTGGTTCAAGACATCAAAGTTCATGTTCAGTCATCCAGGTAAAATATTCATGTTGTTGTTTAAGTTGTCAAAGTTCAAATGTTTGTTTGAAACATCTGTAGCATTCTTAGACTAAAGTCAAAATCAAACAGTTTCCAGTTTAGATGTCCTAATGACCTGATGTCCACATGTCCTGATGTCCACATGTCCTGATGACCTGATGTCCACATGTCCTGATGACCTGATGTCCACATGTCC